TAGATTGTGTAGCATGCGACTGGTTGAAGAAACAGGGAAAAACATCAGAGCCACATATAATGTTGAGAGGAACAGTCCAAATGAAATGTCCAGGAACTAAAAAGATAAAGAACGAAATCGTAATTGCAGAATTAGAACCCAGCAAGAGTAGTAATACAAGCAAGAAAGTTGAAACGAAAAAAAACAGCAGCCACTGAAACAGAGAAAAAGTTAAACTCAGAAACAATGGGAATTAATCAACGATCACCAACTTTTCCAGAAATGAAATCTAAATCTGATTCAGCCAAGAGTCACAATCAAGGAAAAAATGGATTGGAAACGCAAAGTATGAAACAGGCAGACTGTAAAATACTAATAGATAAACAAGTCATGAATAAAGAATTTTCATTTTTAGAGGACAATAAATATATAGATTATGATCAATTTCACAGAGCAGAAAGTCAGAAATATTGGGAAAAGTCAACTAAATGTTTGATAAACAAGAAACCAGCATAAATGCAATTAAATAGAAAATCAAATATCACTTTGGTACGTGAAAATGTTTTAGAAAAATCAGATTATAGCGGAGAAATGGTTTACTGTTTAGACAGAGAAGGTTTGTTGATGCGATTTTGGACAGCTTATATTTATTTGAAGTCGCCCTATATATCAAGACCATTGAAAGTAGTGGTAACGAGCAACATCGGAACAGATGTGATTCTGGGATACAAAGACTTCAACATTAGAGACTGTTCTGATGAAGACATACGAGTCTGGGAACAAAGTCATCTCCATCAACAAAAATAACAGCTGATTCAAGGAAAATTACCATCTTTATCTATGAACTGAAGTATCACTATTTACTAACTTGAAACTATACGGTCCATCATCCTAAACATCAACATCAAGCTAACATATCACCATATAGGAAGTTCAAGATTATTATTAGTCATGAAGCTACATAGAACTACTAACAAGAGTAAACATAAAAAATCATCAAGAATTGACATTTTATCATTCTTCACCTTCAAGATTGTCTTATTTCAACCAAAATCAGAAATCACCAACCTCCACGGTACAGGGAATGAACAGAAACATATCAGCCACTTAATTATTCAAACCTGAAAATCACCATCAAGGAACACGAAATTGTTTTTTCTCCAGATATCTCAAATTCTAAGCAACACTTCAAGAGCATCTATACAATATCAAGATCGTCGAATACCAAACGTATCATAAAATAAAGAATGCGAGAATAATGAAGCATTCCTACAGTTTAAGCGAAGACAACAGACAACCAAAATGTCAGTATTTCTAGTGTTCACACAAGTACTTATTGTGAAAGTTAAATCAAGTTAATTATCTAAAGTGTTTGTGTAAATAAATATCAAATTAATGATGAAGTATTTTTAAAAAAGTGAATAAACACCTGATTAAAAAAAAAAAGCAGCCACATACTGTGTGTATTGAACACCTTCCGTTTAATTCCATTACTAATTATTTTAAAGGTGGCATATCAGTGTATGCAGTCACTGAACACTGTTAATAATATTGTGTCAACTTATAAAATTGTAATAATATTTTTAGTCAGTATATTTGCAAGATTACCAGCTATCCTACTAAGAAAGACCCCAGAGCAGAACAGACTGTCGAGGGAACTAAGGAGTGAGAACCTTGAAAGCAAGCGCCAGAGTACAATCAAGACACACACAGCCTGCAGGGATGGATTAAGATCAAGGATAGTTAATGGAATGAATGGGAATGAAAGAGAATAAAACAGGTATGAATGATGAATGAAAGATTTGTGGGTAGTATTTAATAGTGTACATATAGTTTACTTAGGTTAGTAGTTCATTAGGAATAGTTTAGTATTCATGTAATGACAGAGTTAGTAGTTCATTAGGAATATTTTAGGATTCATGTAATAACAGTAGTTCAAAAGTTTAAAAAAAAAAAAAAATTCTCTCCACAGGAACAGCACAGAAGAATGAAATTAGTAAGATGTAGCAATAGATAATATAGGGAAAATTTTTTGTCCACAGAATGACTTTGATAAAAAATATTTAATTTGAAATGTTTAGCATAGGTACACAGCACAGGGACATTGTAAAGTTGTCCACCACACCCAAGATTAGGAACAGCTATAGTTATACTGATGCTTAAACAGACTGATGGTAAAGAAAGTGCACACATCCAAGCACAAGCACAGTAGAGGAGTTGAACTCATCTGTATCCATTTAAAGGGGAAAAGGTGTGTGGGATTCCTTGGAGTTGAATACTCTGTTAAAGGTGATGTAGAGACTGGTGGGGAAACCCTAAAACTCTATTAAAAATCATCCCAATAGTCATTCCATCTGAGATTCCTTGGGGGTTAATTACCCTGTTAAAGGTGTTATAGACTTGGAGGAAACTCTAAGATCTATGAAAAATATACCTCAACTATCATTGTTTACATGTTGGATTCCTTGGAGTTGGGTAATTACTCTGTGAAAGGTGAGACTTTGGTCTATGAAAATATATCTCAACATGCATTTTTTTTTTATGTGGTAGATTCCTTGGGGTTGGGTAATTACCCTGTAAAAGGTGTTATAGAGGCTTTTGGGAAACCGGAAGCACTATGATAAATATATCTTACCACTATCATATCGGCTAAGAGTCCTTGGGGTTTAACACCCTGTAAAAGGTGATGTAGAAATATTGGTTAAATCCAATTTTCTATGTAGTAAATATCTCAAAGCTGATCATCATCATTACCACTATCATATCGGCTAAGAGTCCTTGGGGTTTAACACCCTGTAAAAGGTGATGTAGAAATATTGGTTAAATCCAATTTTCTATGTATTAAATATCTCAAAGCTGATCATCATCATTACCACTATCATATCGGCTAAGAGTCCTTGGGGTTTAACACCCTGTAAAAGGTGATGTAGAAATATTGGTTAAATCCAATTTTCTATGTAGTAAATATCTCAAAGCTGATCATCATCATTACCACTATCATATCGGCTAAGAGTCCTTGGGGTTTAACACCCTGTAAAAGGTGATGTAGAAATATTGGTTCAATCCAATTTTCTATGTATTAAATATCTCAAAGCTGATCATCATCATCACCACTATCATATAGGCTAAGAGTCCTTGGAGTTTAACACCCTGTGAAAGGTGATGTAGAAATATTGGTTCAATCCAATTTTCTATGTAGTAAATATCTCAAAGCTGATCATCATCATCACTATCATCATTTCACTTCGAACCTGATAGAGTAGATATAGTGACTAGACAATACTACAGATGCAATAGTTGCAAAGATGGTTTAAACTCTTCACCAGCTCAGTAATAGGAAAGCATGCAGTAAATGTTGAAGGCAGTTTTAAATGGTAGTAATTAAGGATAATCAGGAACTATAATTCCTAGCAGTAATACATTTAAAATTTATTTATTATACCTGTAGTAAATATCTCAAAGCTGACCATTATCATCACCATCATCACAATGATTATTTTACTTGAACCTCATAGAATAGATATAGTGATGAAGCTATACTATAGATGAATAGGTGCAAAGATGAGATACCCTTCACCAGATCAGTACTTCAAAAAGCATACAGTAAAAAGTTAAAACCAAGGGCAGTAACTGAGGGTAACTAGAAATGGTAATCCCTAGTAGTGTAGTTAATGTTCCATTGATTCATCAATCAATAAAAAGGAAAATGATACTTGATGTTCCATTGATTCATCAATCAATAAAAAGGAAAATGATACTTGATGTTCCATTGATTCATCAATCAATAAAAAGGAAAATGATACTTGATGTTCCATTGATTCATCAATCAATAAAAAGGAAAATGATACTTGATGTTCCATTGATTCATCAATCAATAAAAAGGAAAATGATACTTGATGTTCCATTGATTCATCAATCAATAAAAAGGAAAATGATACTTGATGTTCCATTGATTCATCAATCAATAAAAAGGAAAATGATACTTGATGTTCCATTGATTCATCAATCAATAAAAAGGAAAATGATACTTGATGTTCCATTGATTCATCAATCAATAAAAAGGAAAATGATACTTGATGTTCCATTGATTCATCAATCAATAAAAAGGAAAATGATACTTGATGTTCCATAAAGTATCATTTTGTTAAGAAAAGGGGGGGGGGGGGGGGGGGGGAGTATGTGATAAGGTGCTGTGCATGGTCTTCACGATTACATAGTGGCAAGCAGAAAGTCCGTGCAACAAGGGACAGCACGAGATACTTGTGCCTAGTCGAGGAAGCGAGGGAAAGCCCGAGCTAGCCTCGTGGTCAGTCGATCATCAGAAGTCAGAGAAGACGGTTGTAGTATTTGAGGATGTCGTCTTTATGTCGGGCAAATGGTTAATGTTCGAATATGTCGCGAGTGATAAAGTGTGAATAATGTTTGAACATGTGAAATAAATGGACCAGAATAAACTGACAGAATGTATCAAGAAGCTGAGCGGCGTTTGTGTTGTCAACCCTAGATGTTAAAGTCGGTGTAAGCCAAGGTTCATTCCAAGTGAAGCATCGACTCATTCCAAGTTGAATCAGAATCATTTTAAGATAGTTGAAAGCGTAACTTCAAGTCTACGTCTTGGTTCATTACACATACATACATACGTACGTACATACATACGTATGTACATACACACATGCATACATACATACGTACGTACATACACACATGCAAACATATAGACACACACACGCACACACAGACTCACGCACGCTTGCATGCACCCACGCATGCACACAAACTGACAGGCAAACAGATAGATAGACATGCATACATACAGCATCAGACATACAGACAGTCAGAAAGGCAAGGCAGACAGACAGCCAGGCAGGCTGACAGACTGACAAACAAACAGACAGGCAGACAGACAGAAAGGCAAGGCAGACAGGCTGACAGACTGACAAACAGACAGGGAGGCAGGCAGGCTGACAGACAAACAGACAGACAGATAGGTTTACAGGGCTAGTGTTAGTGATGAACTTTACCAATGATCATTCCAACAACGAAGGAAGTCGCTCCAACAAGACCCAGCTCCCGCCGGAGCTCAACTTTGGACATCTCCACCACGGGTTCCACGAAATCTTTCATCTTCCTCTGCTCAGGCAGTTCTGGTACCCGCTGACAGGACATTTGTGGCAGCTTCAATGTCTTGGCAATCTTTAGCAGACCTGACAGTGAGGAAGTCAGTCAGTGGATTTGGGGCGCATACAGCAGTAAGGAATTCAGTTGCCTATGTTTTATATATATATATATATATATATATATATATATATATATATATATATATATATATATATATATATATATATATATAAAACGTCAAACCTAAGTATTTCAACGTATCTCTTCTTTCAACATTAATAGCCTTCATGGATATGTTGGACAAGTCTTCCTTCCCAATGTTGTTATTCAAAGAGCACCACAAAACACTGGCCTTTTCTGGGTTTACCCTTGGCCCTGTCTGTTCAAACCACCCCGTCATCTCATCTCTGCAAGTCTCTGGTCATGTCGTGCCTGTCTGACCCGCTTCGATACATTAGGACATCATCTGCAAATGTCAAAGTTCGCCTTGGGGCAGTGGGCTGAAGTTTTGCCAGACTTGCTGTATTTATGTCAAACAAGATAGGTAATAATGGTGATGCCTGGGGAAGGCCTGGGCCGATGCGTATTGTATCTGATCTCCATTTTCCTAAACAAAATACTACAGTTCTTTCCAACAGTGCTGCCCCCATCCAATTAGCTAACCAAGGGTTCCCACCACAATTCATCACGCACTGCATAAGATAGTGAAGTCCGCGCTGTTATAGGCATCTTCAAAATCTATAGAGACAGCGACTGTTTCTTACTTTCGCTGAAATCCTTCATACAGATCAGATGCGAACGTTTAGCCACATTAGGTCTTCCTCAACCTCTCTCATTCAGTCTCTCTTATCCTCTCACATTCAGTTTCATACTCTCACGTTGAGAGATTAATACATTTCTCTGAGACACATATATGAGAAAGAGATTAACACACAGTCCTACAACATGTGGAAAATACAGATTAACACACTGTCCTGCAATATATGTATAGGGGGAAGAGAGAGATCAACACACAATCCTACAACATGTGAAAAAGAGATATTAACACACTGCCCAACAATGTATGTATAAGGGAGAGAGAGAGAGAGAGATTAACACACAGTCATAAAACATGTGAAAACGAGAAGATTACCACTAAAACTCCACAACATATGATAACATTACCCTACAACACATGACAGAGGAAATAACGCACTGTCGTACATCTTGATAAAAGTCACTAACGCATTGGTGTAACACATAGGTATGAAGGAGATTAACGCATTGGTGTAACTTATCGGTATGAAGGAGGCTAACGCATTGGTGTAACACATCTGTGTAAAGAAGATTAACGCATTGGTGTAACACATCGGTATGAAGGAGATTAACACAGTTTCTACATCAACTGTATGCGAGAGATTTGTTTCAAATTAGATTTAAATTGAGATTCCCCTTAAATAAGAAATAACTGCATCTGTTGTCAAGCGTGTACGTTTGTTTCAACCTGCCATTTTTATTTTATTTCTAATTGGTAATTTTCATTGCAGACATCAAAAGAGACAATCCCACCAACCCATAGAGTTGCAAAAAAGAAATGGATGTCAACCGAAATTCTGCAGTTGATGGATGAAAGAAGGAAGAAAAAAAAAATGATAAAGAAGAATACTCTAGAATACAAAAAGAAATAGTGGACAAATCCAAAGTTGCTAAAGAAACCTGGCTGAATCAAATGTGTACAGAGACTGGGGAAAATCATAGGAAAGACTCACATTCCATGTACCAACAGATAAATAAGTTAACAGGAAAGATGACACGTAACAGCACTGGATGATTGAAATCACAAGATGGTGACTTATTAATGGGACATAGTAATATAATTAACAGATGGACAGAGTATACAGAGGAATTGTATGATGATAATAGAACAGACGTAGAACTGCAGACCAACAATGATGGTCCACCAATAATGACTGCAGAAGTTGAGGATGCAATACATCATATGAAGAAAGGAAAAGCACCCGGGCCAGACAACATCTCACTGGAAGAAATCGAAGCACTGGGAAATTTTGTAATTGAAATAATAACTAAACTTTTAAATGATATTTATAATAGTGGGTATATTCCAAATGATCTTTTTAATTCCATATTTATAGCTCTGCCAAAGAAACCAAGCAGTTTAAAATGTAAAGACCATCGCACAATAAGTCTTATGAGTCACATGACTAAAATTTTACTGAGAATAATTATGAGAAGAATTCATTCATTCAGTAGCATGTCCCTCGCGGAACCTCGCTGCCATAACAACCCTCCGGAAAACCTTCCTATCCTGAGCAAGATGTCCTGCGTCTGATACACCCATCTGGAGATCATCTGCCACATCCTGCACCCATCTTCTCCTTGGCCTTCCTCTTCCTCTCTTCCCAGGCATATACCCCTCCATTATTGTTCTCTCTAGACTTCTATGACGTTTCAAGTGACCAAAGTATTTCAATTTTCTTTGTTTTATTGTCTTTACTAGCCAACCCTCTTCAATATTCAGCTCTTGAAGTATGGATGCATTTGTTCTTTTCTTTACCCAAGATATTCTTAGAACCTGTCTGTAACATTTATATTCAAATGCATTTATGCGCTGTTCCGCTTGTTTAGTAAGTGTCCAGGTCTCACAGGCGTATGTTGCAATGGGAAAGATGCATGCTCTTAAAAATCTGACCTTTGTAATTCTATCTGTACAATTCCATAATTTATTCAGTTGTTTTAGTCTTTGAAGAGCAATTGATAGTCGCCGTTTAATTTCTTTCATTGTGTCACCATTGTTGGTAACCAGTGACCCAAGATATTCGAAATTTTCCACCACTTCCAATCTTTCCTCATTAACATATATTTCCTTCTCCATGGCAGTTTTGTTTGTATGCATTATCTTTGTTTTGGCTATGTTAAGAAATAAGTTATGATTTTCACTATTTCTTTGGAGTGAGGTTAATAAGTTTTTTCTAAACCATTTTGTGATGTTGATAGTAATACTGTATCATCAGCATAACGAATTTCTGGTATTTCATGACCACCGATGTTTAGGGCATCATATTGTTCCTTGTTTATATCATCTCTTACATTTCTCATTATATTTTCGGCGTACAGGTTGAACAAATACGGTGACAGCACACATCCCTGACGGACTCCTTGCTTGATGCCAAACCAGTCTGATGTCTCTCCATCTATTCTGACTGCTGCTTGTTGGTCTTGATAGAGCATTTTAATGAGCTGCACTATATGTGATGGAAAGCCCATATTCCTCATGATTTCCCAAAGCTTCTGATGTTGTACACAGTCAAATGCTTTTGAATAATCCACAAAACATAAGAACAGATTTACATTAAATTCTCTACATTTCTCTATTATTAAACGCATGTTGAATATATGATCTCTTGTTCCTCTTCCCTGAGCTACATTAATCTCTTCTTCCATTTTCTTATGCAGTCTTCTCATTATAATTTTTAGTAGAATTTTACTTGCATGACTGATCAGGGCAATAGTTCGATAGTTTGTACATAATTTCAGGTCACCCTTTTTTGGTATTGGAATGAAGATAGTTCTCTTCCAGTCTTTTGGCCAAATACCATATTTCCATATCTTTTCACATAATGCATGATAGATTTTTATGCTTTCTTCTTCTCCCGCTTTAATCAATTCAGCAGTATGTATGTATGTATGTATGTATGTATGTATGTATGTATGTATGTATGTATGTATGTATGTATGTATGTATGTATGTATGTATGTATGTATGTATGTATGTATGTATGTATGTATGTATGTATGTATGTATGTATGTATGTATGTATGTATGTATGTATGTATGTATGTATGTATGTATGTATGTATGTATGTATGTATGTATGTATGTATGTATGTATGTATGTATGTATGTATGTATGTATGTATGTATGTATGTATGTATGTATGTATGTATGTATGTATGTATGTATGTATGTATGTATGTATGTATGTATGTATGTATGTATGCATGCATGCATGCATGCATGCATGCATGCATGTATGTATGTATGTATGTATGTATGTATGTATGTATGTATGTATGCATGCATGTATGTATGTATGTATGTATGTATGTATGTATGTATGTATGTATGTATGTATGTATGTATGTACCTGGCATCTCATCACATCCAGGTGATTTACCATTTTTCATGAGAAGAATAAGAAACAAAATTAAATTAGAAATCAGCGATGAACAATGTGGATTTGTAGAAGGAAAAGGTACAAACAATGCCATATGCACCCTAAGGACATTGTCAGAAAGAGCTATAGAAGTAAAGACTGATTTGTACTTATGCTTCATAGACTATACAAAAGCATTTGACTGTGTGAAGCATGAAGAAGTAATCAAACTGTTAGAAAAATTAAACATTGATGGGAAAGATCTACGAATAAAAAAGAATATGTACTGGCAGCAAACAGCAGCTATAAGAATTAACAACTGTTTAGGTACAGTTCAAAGCATAAAGAGGGGCGTACGAAAAGGATGTGTACTTTCACCTGATTTGTTTTCAATATACAGTGAATATATAATGAGAACTTTAATTGATATGCCCGGATTTGTGGTTGGTGGGCACAATATAAACAATTTACCTTATGCTGATGACACAGTCTTGATAGCAACAAGTCAGAAAGAACTACAGGAAATGATAGACATTGTGTGGTGTTAGAAAGTGGAAGAATGGGCCTCAGTTTGGGAAGACAGAAGTAATGGTGGTGTCAAAGGAACAAATTATTCCTAAATGTGTAAAAAAAAAGTTGATGGTGTTATTTTAGGACAAGTACAGAAATGTAAGTATCTGGGCACATGGATAACATCAGATGGAAGATGCATAACTGAAATAAGAAACAGAATTGGACAGGCAAAAACTGCATTTTATAAAATGAAAAATATCTTGTGCAATGTATCCTTGTCATTGAGAGTTTGAAAAAGAATTCTTGCTTGCTACATACATCCAGTTTTAACATATGGCTGTGAATCCTGGACAATCGGTAGGCAGACCAAACAATTTCTA